TTACTGTTTTGTTAATTTATCAATCGACCGATGTTAATCTTTTTTTGTTGATTACTAACAACAATCATTCCTCTTTCCTGTCCAAATTACTCTTATTCATCATATTTTATTTCCAACTAGGATATTTGATCAGGAGACAAATTAACACTCGAATCGTGCGAAATAAAGAAATAATTGGCACTCGGCGAGCGCAGAGCGAGTCGTGGCAATAACAGTGGACAAATGAAGGTAAATGAATATAGAGGTGTGGCGGGCCAATCATGGCTACGGAACTCGTTCGTTTAGTTTTTGGCGAGTTCCACTGATTAAACCTGTTGACAATTCACCGATTTCCTCTTTTTCTGCGGCCGCCGGCGAAATTGGGGCAAACCGGACAAAGGCGCCGATTGGCGATTGGCGATTGGTCCGTGATAATTGGCGACCGAAAAACACCTGATCTAATAATAGTTGTATTGGACATTCGGTAGACCGCGTGAAAATCGCGAAACGTGTGACACTTCATTTGCAGTTGTTTGACAGTCAGTTTCAGGTTCTTGTAGTAAATTAAATTACAACTGAAAATCGGCGACAAAATGTATTTTAATGCTACTTCAACAAAATACGTACAAATGAATCGTTAAAGGATAAGTCTTGCTTGAATAATTTCAATATATATCATGGCTAGGCAAGACTACATTGATAATTTTGTGTAGAGTTAAGAATATTCTGACTACAATCCTTAGCAGTACGACACATGTATTTAACCCTGAACATGTATTTTAAATATGGTATAGTTGTACATACTGCTTAGTGGCTTAGTAATATTTATACTTGGTAGTGGTTCTATTATCCTTAAATTTCTGATAGTTCTTTGGCTAGTTTCTGCAATCAATTTTAGTCCTGGTGAATATCGTATTGCATTCTAATCAAAGTCAACTCGACAAAAGACTATTGTTGACAAATCCATTTATTTTCTAATACTTTTAAATTTATTTTTGATATAATTTTGTTTGTATGTTAACATTTTAGAAATCTCAACTCATGTGCTTGTTCGTACCACTGCACTATATACCACAGTAAGCCAATGACCACAAAAAAAGCGACCCGTATGTGTGTGTGTGAAGAGACGCCTCATCGATGACACACAGGTAACGGAGTAACAGTTATGTAAGAACCTTTACACAAAGCCCAAATCATCGCTGGTGAAGGACGACTGCGGCGGGCGGGGGTGTGAGGCGAGGTGCGAGGGATGGAGTATAAGAGGGTAGACGAGGGCGTCCCACAGTTCACCCATTAACCCTTCTGTCCCGTTAAATTACGGTTCTCCCCCTTTGATCGACGTAACGGTCAAGAGTTTTGTTTGTAGACTTTACGATCGCTGTAAAGTGTAAAGCGTGCCGATTTTGTTGACGCAACTGGCCATCGGTCGTCATTCACCGCCTTCGCAGAAGCGGCCGACTATAACGGGTCGGTCGTATTTATCCTGTGTTTAGCTGCGATTTCGGAGACTTTAGTTTAAACAAGCAGTGAGTAACGAACCACAAATCTCTGGTTTATAACAGCAACTTTAGATATTACTGTGATATTGGCAGACAATGATTAGCCTTGGTTATAGGCACTGTTTGTATTCTATCAAAATCATGGATTCATCTAAACTCAAAATCTATTCAAGTTACCTTAAAATTTGTAATCTCACCAAGTATGTTGAATAACATATAGACCTACCCAATTTATATTCTAAAAAAAATATTCTTTTAAAATTACGTTTAGTTGTATAATTTCATTGTAAAATATTTAAAACTACACAATGTTTTCACATTTTAAAACGATAAACTGTGAAAAATATGTATGTTTGATACCAAACATGTTTTAAAATCCATGTTTATAGATCAATCCATTTAATTAAGGTTTGTTGGATAATGGTGTCCCAAAAATACATCAACCAGTTTCAATTTTCAACCTTTTTGAACGGTGAAAGGCTTGTGTCAATTTAATATCTAAAAACAAATCAATCATTTGCAGAAATGGTTAACCATAAATAAGTGGAAGTTTTGCGCAGGTTCATCTGGATTACTGAGTCAAACCAAGGCGTTCAAACTATATCAGCTTTGAAAGCTCGCATAGGAGTGACTAAGGCCGACATATTCCTTAGACACAGCTGTTCATTAATAGCCCGTACAGTTAATGATAAGGGACCTACAGTTGATAGTGGAATCCGAACCACATTTTCCCTTGTAATTAACGAATTGGTATGATTATCAGGATAATACTGCGGATAGTCGTAGTACTCACTAGTGCGGACGTTAATCCACACCAGGGAGTATCGCATCCGCAGTACATCCCTATAAATATCCACAATTCGTGACCTCCTAGTAGTTGGATTACGTCGACGCTACCGTCCCAGTCACATGAGCATTGTTCCGAACTGGATGTCAAATAGCACCTATATACATCGTTGCAAAACTTGTGTATGAAATAATGAGAGACGTACAAGAATAAATACACAAATAAATCAACTCTATAGGAAAAGGTTTATTTCTCAACATAGGAAAAACGTAAAAATATTTAAATTCAAGTTCAGTTGTACAGTTATCCAAAAGAATTTATTTCTTTGCTACTAAATGTCTCGATTATAACCTTCAATCTCAGTAACATTGGACAAAACAAACCGAAAACTACAACCTAACACTGCTATGTCCATTAGTTCAACCGAAATCGAAAACACTACTTTCCCATGGATTTTTATATTGTTACGAATAGACTGACAAAAAAATGTGAGTACTTAGTGAAAGTAGTGACAATAATTTATTTGAACCATTTTACTACCATCTTCAATATAAATCAACATAAAACTCAACTCTTTTGTTTACAATCTCTCCTTTAAATTAATAACATGTGTTTTAATTATTAGTAAGCATACAATATTAACATTGGCCACAGCTGGCAATTTAAAACCAGTAAGTTTAACCATTGACTATAGGTTAAACCAACACAGCATATATAACATCCTCCCACCCAAGTTAATTAACTTATGGTTGATTAACTTGTACTTTGGATCGTGTACTTCTTCTTGTAACTAATTTTCTCTCTTCGTTAGAGTTTATTTCCAATGGGTATAAACGTTGTACTGGGCGAATCAATTCATTGGTTGGTGTTTTCAATCTTACTGTGCGTACAATTCCATCTCTTCCTTTCATTACTTCAATGATTCTGGCAATCACCCAGTTTATCCGCTTGTCAAAGTCATTACCTATGAGTACTATTTCCCCCACTTCAGGTTCTCGGTAACTTTTGACATTATTATGGTGTGACAATTGACCAAGATACTCGATTCTGAATCTTGACTTCAGTCCTTCTCTTATTTTCTTTCTGTATACAGCTTTCTTCGGTAAATTGATCTCCTCTATAGCGTCTAAGTCGGGTTGTCTTACATCGCTTATATCTTTCAAAAACACTGATGGAGTAATGGGACTCAATTCATTCAGATCATCCGACATGTAAGTAAGCGGTCGAGCATTGATGACACTTTCACGTTCGTAAAATGTAGTTGACATTTCTTCATAGTTCAAACTAGTTTTCTTCAAAACTCTCTTCGGAGCATGTTGATTGTTGGACTCCCACCCTTTAACGTGTGCTGAAGCACCAAATACGGGTCTCACTGGTGTAGTCGCACTGTCCTTGAGAACTGTTCCATGTGGTATGAGCTGCTTGATGTGATCTACCTCGTTACTGGGAACTGATTCGATGAATCCTTCATTCTGCCAACTTCTAAAAACTTGTTGATACTTATTGAAATGACCACAATTTGTAGTCTTATCGGTTCTTGATTGAAGTAGTTTCTTTGACAGTTCCAAGTTATTAGGATGTATGTTACAATCCTCAACCAAACACACTTCATGACGAACTTCTTTGTTATCACTCTTCACCGTATTCTTAAAATGTTCTGGTGTCATCTCGTGCGACTCTTCTTTTGACTCTTGTTCAACGGGATCAGTAATACCAAGTGTCTCTAATTTCCAGAACATCGAAATATCCTCAGAAGGATCACTAAAAGAAAACATACTAACACATGATGTATTGCATTCTGTCTTACTGTTATCAGTTTCCACAACACTAGATAAGCGACCCATTAATGTCCAGCCTAGAAAGGTTTCCATTGCTACAAGTCCACTATTCAGCTGAACTTTGTTACCTGTGAACAACTTACCAGCAACATCTGCACCAATTAATACTTCAATTTTTGCATCTGATTCAGCCACATCCGAAAGAACAATGTTAGCAGCTTCTATTTCCTTAAGTTCTGGACCTCTCCTAATACTAGGGATATTTTCACTTATAAGAGGTTGATCTAAAACCTTGAACCTACACTTATAGTCATTATTCCTATTGGCAAGAATGATTTTAAACGTGTTATGTGAAACAACATCCGTCTTAACACCTCCAAAAAGTGAATGTGTTAAACTCTCTTGTCCCTCGGGATACATACCAATTTCAGATGCTGTGGACTCAAGAATATAAGATCTCATCGAACCTGTATCAATTAAGGCTCTAACAGGACGAATCAAACCTTCATGGATCAGATTGACCCTCAATGTCTGCAGATAAATCTGTGATTTTGTTTGTTGTCCTAAGTTAGATAGATCTTTGACCTCATTACCGGTGCACTTTTTTGATTGTTCTTGCAATCCTTGATCCTTATTACACATCAAAGTAGGGTGTTTGCGGTAACAAATACTACATTTTAAAGGCCTTCTACAGAATTTAGATGTATGTCCCTGAAATAGACATGTAAAACAAGCTTTTTTATCCAAAACAATTTGTCTCTTTTTACTAAAATCCATTTTCTTGGCCTGCAGGCAATCTGCACTTTTGTGAGCTTCTGAACAGAATATACAATTTAACTCTTTTGACTTGTTAGTCAAGCAAGATGCTGAAGGAATATTGTTTGATGTTTTATCAATATTACTTCTAGGGCTTACCCTCTTACTCGTACCGTAACCAGTCTTAGCCAAAACAATTCTTTATTCACCTTCAACTTCTGATTTGATGAACTGCCGCAATCTCTTCAATGTCTGCTCTTCTGTTTCTGATGATTCTTTATTTTCTCCATCTGAAGACAAACTGCATCTCTGCCAAGCTCTAAGAAGATCATCTGGTAAGCAGGACTCTACTAAAGGCAACAAAACACAAGCACATTTATCTGTTGTTACCTCTAAGCTTTCCAAGGCTCGTAGTTGACATTCTAATTTGTCGTAAAACTGCATCAGAGACAAACTATGTTCTGTGTTTTTCAGTACCAAAGCTAGCAGCTCCCTAACATATACTTGTACTAGAAGTCCGTCCCGCCCAAATCTACCTTTAAGTTCCTCTAGAGCCTTAGGATAATTATCTGCTGTTGGTGGAAAACTCTTTACTACTTCATATGCTCTAGACCTAGGAATCATACTTTGTAACAAGTATTGGAACTTTTCTGCAGCATTTAGGGTCGGTTCCCTATCTATTGTTTGAAAAAGACTCCAGAAATGTAGCCAGTCCTTCGGATCTCCACCAAATTTGATCAATTCTACTTTTGGAAGTCTTACTGTGTTGTGCTTAGGTACTAAAGTGCTGTTGTTACTTACAGAATCGCCGAGAGAACGAGCTTCATCTTCTAATCTGTTACTTACTCGCAACTTGTATTTAATTAATCCATAAGCCTTCTTGTATTCATCCTGTTTTGCTAGTTCAGCTTCAATTTCTTCATCAGGTCGTTCTACAAGCATTAGATTCAATACTTCTTTATCAATTTCTTCCAACTCATTGTATCTTTGTTCTAATACGTCATAAAGAGCATTAGCTTCATCTAATTCTTCTTGACAAACTTCATTGAACTTCGATACTGATCTACTAAATGTTGTTCTCAATGCCTTCCTTCTTTTTAACAAGGCTTCCATGGTTCAAATAAAATCTATACTTTTCCAACAAATAACTTACTTCCACCAATGCCAACACGTTGGACGCCACAATGTTACGAATAGACTGACAAAAAAATGTGAGTACTTAGTGAAAGTAGTGACAATAATTTATTTGAACCATTTTACTACCATCTTCAATATAAATCAACATAAAACTCAACTCTTTTGTTTACAATCTCTCCTTTAAATTAATAACATGTGTTTTAATTATTAGTAAGCATACAATATTAACATTGACCACAGCTGGCAATTTAAAACCAGTAAGTTTAACCATTGACTATAGGTTAAACCAACACAGCATATATAACATATATAGTCGAAGACTGTTTATTGCGTATAGAGGAAATAGAGTTCTGGTAAGCCCAGATAACTACTCGGTCGAGTGGTCACTTGGTTTCATAGACCATCGTCCACTGGGGAGGGAGGGCATGAATTAAAGGGGGGCAGGGGTACGACGGAAGGGGGGCAGGGGTACGACGGAAGGGGGGCAGTTTTATACGTCTGGCGCTGGACAACGCGATTGACACTAAACCTGAAACTCTGCAAATGCGGGGCAATAAAGTGGCGTTTCGATTCAGGTGATTTTGTGATAGTTGTTAATTGGGAGATATCCATGTGGTGTCGTAAACTTTGTATGTATTATCGTACTGAATTTACGCTAATAATGAAGGTTCAGTGTAAGTATTTCACAACAAATTTTGAATATTTTTCAAGTTTTTATTTTGTACTTTTTGAAGGGGTGATTAGAAAATCTAATCGAACGTGGAATATGCAGAAGGTTAAATGAGAGCAACATGAGTTTAAGGGGTAAGTATGAAATAATTACACATAGTTAAAGAATATTTATTCCAAGCTATAAGTATGCAGCTTGACTTCTCTCTTGCACGTAAATATTAAAAAAATATTGTTAGTGATAATTTTGCAATGGTTAACGTTATTTTTAGTTTTTAAGAATGTTTTTGCAGTGGTACAGAAAACGTAGCATCTTTGGTAGGTTTATCTTTAGTAGAATTGTTGTTCTTACTTTATTTAGGATAATCTCTTAATTTTGTGTTGTAAAGACGATTACACGCAAATGTGAACTAGAAATAATCCAACAATTACACGTTACAATATCAAAAGTTTCAAATTTATTACTTAACATGTTCATGAATCATATTTATAAGTTGAATAGTGTCTGACTACAGAATTAAGATAGTCCTGTACTTAGTTTCCTTCGGCAATCGTTACTTACAATTCAGAACCAACTGTATGCACCAAGTTACCTTTTACATAACATTCCATTATAATGGTTGATTATCAAACAATGCAGTGTAATGCAGGATGTGTTTAACCATGGACGAGCCACATTGGGACTCCACTGATTGAACCCGTCCCTGAAGACCAGCCTATCAGCTGTCTGACAGCTCTGCATGTGTGTGAGTAGACCTAATATATGTATTTATCAGAGTATCGTAGAATATACAGGGTTAGTAAAAAGTGTGGAGACCTCCTGTTATTTTTTTAACGGCCCATACTAGAAAAACTAAACTCGGCATACCTTTATGGCATGTTATGAAGTACTTTTTGGGCATAACCGTCACTTGGTGTACTTCCCCAAAATGGGGGATTTTGGGGGAAACTCAAAAATTTCAAATACAAAGACCTATCGAGTGACCCCTCATTTTGAAGGTCCTGGTAAAAGAAAACCAAAAACGCAAACTAGAGGTCTTTATCTCAATCCAGTAAAAAATGGCAGCCAATTGAAATTCTCAGAAGTTGAATTTAACTTGCAGCTTCCCAAGTCTGGAGACCCCCTGTAAATTTGGTAGCGGCTCACACTAGGAAAACTAAACTCTACACAGCTTTTTCTCATTTTATGAAGTACTTTATAAGCCTAATAGCCACTTGCTTACCAAACCAAAAATGGGGGATTTTGGGGGAAACTCAAAAATTTTAAATGATAAGTCCCATCAAGTGAACCCTCATTTTGAAGGTCTTGGTAAAAGAAAACTAACAACGCAAACTAGAGGTTTCTATCTCAATCCAGTAAAAAATGGAAGCTGATTGAAATCTTTAGAAATCGGAAATAACTTGCAATTTTATATTCAATTGGCTGCCATATTTTACTGTGTTAAGATAGAGACCTATAGTTTGCGTTGTTAGTTTTCTTTTACCAGGACCTTCAAAATGAGGGGTCACTTGATGGGGCTTATCATTTAAAAGTTTTGAGTTTCCCCCAAAATCCCCCATTTTGGGTTTGGGAACTTATGAGAATTTCAATTGGCTGCCACTTTTGTACTGCACTGAGATAGAGACCTCTAGTTTGCGTTGTTGGTTTTCTTTTACCAGGACCTTCAAAATGATGGGTCACTCGATGGGTCTTTGTGTTTGAAATTTTTTAGTTTCCCCCAAAATCCCCCATTTTGGGGATGAACACCAAGTGGCGGTTATGCCCAAAAAGTACTTCATAACATGCCATAATGGTGTGCCGAGTTTAGTTTTTCTAGTATGGGCCGTTAAAAAATAACAGGTGGTCTCCACACTTTTTACTAACCCTGTATGTTGTTTATTCATCATACTGTTAATACTGTTCAATGAAATGGCGACAATACTAAGCAGGTTTTTTAAGCCAAGTATGATACTATGTAGATAAAGTAAAAAAATAATGTGCTTCAACGCTCAAAACAGCTGTGGTTTATGTATTCACAAGACTTCTACTGGAAATCCATACTAATTGAATACACTTAAATAAAGTGTTTAATCCCTTTGCTTTGTGTTTAATATTCAAGATGATATTTCACAAGGAAATGGAAATATTTTATAAAAAAAGCTGTAGACCTTTATTTTGTACTAGTTAATCAAAACCACGTAAGTGTGTACACTGCATAGGATCCACGATGGTAACACATTCTATACAGATCCTTTGTTAAATATCGACTTAATATTCTCTGCCAAAACAATATAACATCATAGTTGTTGTGGCCTTGTGTGTGCACGCGTATTTTGTTTAAGTTTTATAATTGAAAAAGGTTGCTTCATTTGAAAAGATTTATTTTACAAACTATAATTGATTGATAAAAAATTTGTAATGTTGTTGGTGACTTATTTAACACTCTAATTATTACTCATAACATATGATAGATATTTACTTATTGCCAACATAGAATATTGAATAATTATGAAACATGTGGTTGGTATACTATAATAGTAATCAAACAAAATACCTTGAGTAGCTTTATACAATTATTCTTAACAGCTATGTTATTTGTGGTACTCTTTTAGACATGTCTTATCACGACTGACAAAAAAACAAGATATCATCACTTTCTCCGTACAAACTAATCTAAATAATAATAACTACCAGTAAAAACTAGTTTAAAAACCTATAGATATTTTTCTCTAGTAGCCAAGAATAGCCAATGATACTTAACATTATAATTTTACTCCAATATATATTCTGTGCTATAAGTAACTCATTAATCTCATTGCTTTAGACTGTTGTACTGCATGGAAAATGAGTTTAAAAGAAATATCTTGAAGGCTTTGATATTAGAAACACCAGCTGATTTTCAGAACCATAGCTCTACAGCTGAGTGGCTACAGTGCTTGACTAGTAATTAGAACGTCATCGGCTAGTGAGAAGATTTTCGATGGTTAAAAACTGGAGTCTGTCTTAAATTAATGGGCTTTTAACTTGTGGTAAACCAGCTGATCTTAGAAATTAGCAAAGCTCTCATCTCATTCATTTAAAAACAATTTCTCTTATCTTCGCCTTTATAATTCATACCCTTATGAATAAAAAAATAAAAAATCCATTACCGTATTTCATATATACATTACGTAAATAATACATTGTACTTGTTCACAGCCAAACGGACTTTTCCAAATCACTAAATGCAAAGCACGTGCTGCACCTCAACCTAATGTCGGTCAGCATGCCAAGATACGTCAGCAGCTGTGGTTGAAGTACAATACACAGGAAATTGGACAGACTTGGGCAGATTAGAGTCTTGAGGTCAGCCTTTCAGTGAACCTCGTTCACGGCTTATGGCTTATGGCCCCTTCTCGCCGGACCTTTTATACCAAGCGTTCCAATGAAATCGGATTATTTCAACACAAAGGCATAATTTTGTAATAACTCTTTCAATAAAACGTTTGACGAAGATTAAACTTTGTTAATGATTATTGGTTTGCTTGGGTTGAGTAATTTCATTCGAAATTTAGACTACAATCAAGTAAAAAAAAATTATAGTAAATATAAGTGCTTGCTTTGTACAGTAGTAGGTTACAGTGGTATTATCATATCAAAGTTTATAATACAAAATGTGGGGATAGCAATTAAGTTAACAAAACGCGCGTTTAAATACACAAATCAAGATACATTAGTCCAGTAAAATACACATCAGTTTCAATGTTGTTTTTATTCAAGTTTTAATATCTTAAGGCTTGTAATACTTAAACTACTGTTTATACAATATAAATATGTTTATGTATGTTTATTATGTTACATACAATTTTGTAATAAAAATCAATCAATCAACAGCTAGTCACAATAATTGTGTTCGTATTTTAAACTGAATATTAGTGCTTTGGTTGTAGAAGGAGTGAGACGACGTAGAAGATTTTTTACTGATTATTGCGAATATCAAATTCACATTCCTACTTTCAATCAAGAAGTTTGGAGTTTTTAAAACTAAAGTATTGAGTCAGACTTGTATTTATTTTTCTTGATTGGTGAACTCCCTGACCTGCAGGCACCGGTACTTAATTAGTAAAATAACTATTGTAAAAATTACACACTCAGCTTTCTCTTCTTCCAGATGAAATTCGATAACTCCACCATTGTACGATACGGTACTGAGTTATTTTCTAATCTTGGAAGTTACAACAAAGTATTCTAGAGTCAATTAATTAGCATTCTAGTCTCCAGGAATGTGTAAGAGCAGTAAGAGCACCTCCTGCAGAGAAGGCAGAAGACCACATGACCGAGTGAAATA